CTTCGCTTCATCACTTAATAGAGGATGCAGTAAACTCAGATCTCCACCGTTTCATCGTTTCAAATCTTCCAGTGCACTGATCTAGACCTCCAATAATGCAGTCTTTTACCTTTTCTTTCTTCAGCCAAACAAGATGGTAACGATCTTTATTGCGTAAAAGCGGCTTTAGAATTAGTAGGGTCCATTTTATAACTTTTGTCCAGTTGAATTAATTTAATAAAGCTGATGTCATGGTCCTATTTATTTGGAGGTGGACATTGTTAAAGCACTCTGCCATGTCCCTGTTGTGGCTCATCTGATTCAGATGTATAGATAGATTAATTGGCTCAAAAAAGAGTATGATCATGATCTATCAAGGAATTGCAGTATGGCTATGTATTTTGTCTTTGATCCATTTATTGTTCATAGGTTTCGCAGATACAGATGACGAGTGAGATTTGTGACTTCAACAGTTTTTTTGTGCTCTTGGCTATTTCACGGCCAAAGTACGAGGGATGCCACAAATAATTTTCTTCTGATGAGCTTATCTGGTGGAAGTAAAGTGAAAGAATCAAGCTGCTTTCTTCTTCTTCTTTGTTTTATGTTAATAATAAGAATCTAGGGTCTTAACATCCAATTTAACTATGTAAATGGTCAGGGTTATTTCACCAAGTCATCTCAGGAGGTAGTGAAAATTCAGCTGCAAAATGTAAACGTAGCTGAAAACCCGTTCAGCCTGATAGTAAGAGAGAAAAGGAAGAAGAGGAAAAAATATGTCAATGTTCTTGTTCACGCGTTCCTGAACTTGTTTAACAGTGGAGATTGGTTGAGGGTGGATTCTCACATAGATAGGAATTTAAACTCCCAAATGCCTGTAAATAGTGTTATGCATTGACGGGTCTTGTCATTGGAAGAATAAAAAAAACGCTTAGTTTCCTTTTTCTCTGTCTGGTAATGGTAAAATACTGAAGGCTAAGTGAGATATTAGTCTTGTGATGAAGGGCTTAAGCCTCTGCTTTGGTAATACTGTATATTTGAATCTCCCCACGCCATCAAAAGGAGGAAATGATAGCCAAAATGATAATGGAAACTTTGCTTTTCTAGTTAATTTCTTTGACCTGTATATTTTTTCTTTTAGTTTCTTAAGATCCCAAAGGAGTTTCCCTATCAATGTTTACAAGTCACGGGAAGGAAGTGATAAATCTTTATGCTGAAAAGGAAAGCGGTTGTATATCTTTCACATCGCAATGCTCAGGATGCAACCAGTGTGTAAATATAGTTGATGTTACTACTTTTACTTTGCAATGAAATTTGACATTTTTTAACTCTCTTTTAAGAATTTGCTGGATGAAAATTTTCCCAAATGTCAGGTAGGAATCAAACTTACAAGGGGCAAAAATAGCCATAACGCATGTCAAAGATTCTGTGTTTATAAAAGTAGTTTGCTTATAATTAATTGAGTATCAGAACATATGCAACTCACACAGATGTTGAGAGTGGAGGAGGGCTAATCTATTTGTTGGTGCTCAAATTTTCTTTTAATTCTTTTAAATTCTTGGTGGAATCATCCTTGTTTTCTTCTCTTTCTGTCCTTTTCGTTTCAATCGATTGTCCTTTGATATAGGGCATTGTCTTTTATTTATTTATTCTTCTTACAAAAGCTAAGCAATATGATTTGGTTCGACTTCACCCGATCAGCCGTTGTGGTAAAGATTGGTTTTTGTTACAATATGCAGTTAAATTCTTGCTGCTACAACAGATCACTTCACAATCTTTGTAGCTACTCTAATTAACTTGGAAATTATTATAGCAGCAATGTTCTCACAAAATAAGTTGTTATGCATGTAAAATGCATGAACATAAAGCATAGAGACTCACGTCTCCATTGCTTAAGAAACCTTAAAGAGGCACAGTGGTGAGCGACATGTGAGTGCTCTGGCTTTTGGAAGGTGTATAGTAATTGTCACAAAATGCCGTGGAGAGAATGGCTATCCACTCATCCTCACTTTCTCTTATTCTAAACCAAGTTATTTGATTAGTATTAAATAATGAAGAAAGAAACTGCCACTGATTAATGACACAAGTAAATCCCTCTTCATTTATAAATATGTGCCACTATTTGAAGTAGTGGACAGCAAAAGATGGAGTGCCAAAATGTTAACGAGGTGGAGAGGCAAAACCAGCTCCCACAACCTGAGGTGCCAAACAGGGGCACCACCTTCCTTGGAACTTGTTTTAATGGGCTCAATGCTTTATCAGGTCTCGATTTCCTCTTTCCCTCTTTTTGCCGTAACTAAACCAATTTTAAGACATGTAGACAGGGAACTTCCTATGTATATCAGTAGCTAAACCAATTTTAAGAAATGTAGACAGGAACTTTCCCATGTGTGTATCAGTAACATTTTACCTGTGTTTTATTTGTTACGTTCTTCTGCTCTTCTTTAGGGAATTCAAAAAACAATCATTTTCAATATCATGATAATTGTTTTGGACCACCATTTTTCTTCCTCGCTTTTTTTTGCATACAGGGTTCTGGTCCAATTATTTACTCTCTTTTTTCCCAGCTAAACATAGCACTTGTTGAGGTAATCAGGACAGTGCTTCGACTCATGGAAATATTAAAGGTGAGCTGAAGTATGACCGAGAATGATTACAATTAATCACTGCCCTGTTTTGCAGGTGTTGGGATACTCTCAATTCCCTATGCGCTTTCTCAAGGAGTATGGCTGAGCTTAATACTGCTTTTTCTAGTGGCAGTTCTCTGTTGGTATACAGGATTACTTCTAAGACGTTGTATGGATTCGGACCCACTCATCAGAAGTTATCCTGATATAGGAGAGCGAGCTTTTGGATACAAAGGAAGAACTCTAGTATCCATCTTCATGTATCTTGAGCTATACTTAGTAGCTGTTGAATTTCTGATACTAGAAGGTGACAATTTAGACAAGTTGTTTCCAAACACAGGTTTCAAATTTGCTGGACTATACATTGGAGGTAAAACAGCCTTTGTTCTTCTCACTGCGCTTGTAATCCTGCCAACGACATGGTTAAAGAGTCTAGGCATGCTGGCCTATGTCTCTGCTGGTGGGGTTATGGCTTCTGTTCTTTTGGTTGGCTGTGTTTTATGGGTTGGTGCAGTTGATGGTTTGGGGTTCCATGAAAATGGTGTGCTTTTGAATGGGGGAGGATTACCTACTACTTTAAGCTTGTTCACCTTTTGTTACTGTGGTCATGCAGTTTTCCCCACGTTGTGCAATTCAATGAAAGACAGAAGCCAATTCTCCAAGGTAGGAAGCTACGTGGAAACTGAATCTCTTATAATTGGCTCTCTGTTAATGCAACCATGCTGGTGATGATATCTTTTCAGTTCAAATTTATAGGAGTAATGGAGTATTGTGTGATTATGACCTTTCTCTTCGGCATTCTCTCCTTCGCAGGTTTTACTTATCTGCTTTGTTACAAGCACCGTCACTTATGGATCAATGGCAGTTCTAGGCTACCTCATGTATGGAGAATATTTGAAGTCTCAGGTGACCTTAAATCTTCCAATCAGAAAAATTGGTTCAAAAATAGCAATATATACCACCCTAATCAATCCCCTGACCAAATATGCGGTCATTACTGCTCCAATTGCTACAGCTATTGAGGACACATTGGCTTTCCGCAACAGCAGATATCTCAGTATCCTCTTCAGAACTGTGATTGTGATCAGCACGGTAGTTGTGGCACTAACAATTCCCTTTTTTGGATACGTGATGGCTTTTATTGGTGCGTTTTTGAGTGTCACTGTCTCCATGTTGTTACCCTGCTTGTGCTACCTTAGGATTGACAAATCTGCTAAAAGATTTGGGTTAGAGTTGGTGTTAATTGTGGGAATATTGATAGTCGGGTCTTTTGTGGGTATAATCGGTACATATACTTCTATCAAACAAATTGTAAACCATCTCTGAAACTTAAAGATGGTGCCATTAAGCTTACTGACAATAAGATAAACAATTCATAAGCGCAACTTTTGCCTTGTACGAAGATCATGCAAGTCCAATGCAATGCAATATATGGTTGAAATCTCTGCCAGAGCAAAATAAAGAAAAATCAGGTCCAATCATATTTTCCTCTCCAAGGTACACGTCGGATTTCCATGAGGCTGCATTTTCTATTCATTTCTCAAAAGCTGGTTTTAAAAATAAATAAAATAAAAAACAAATCTGACACTGATAGAAATAATGCCAATCTTCTTGTTCAATTAATTTTCCCAACAGCTAATGACACAGCATTTTCTATTATTTTTCAATGACCTTCAATTCTTCAAACAAAACGAACCCGCCAGATGCCATAATTTCTCTTTACAATTGACATCTCTAAAATGATGATCCTCATTCCCCTTGTGATAATGACCGAGGCAATTCAGTAGAGACGAGCCACACCACCAGCCCATATACTGGTTGAAATGGCAGAAAGCTGTGTGCGTGAAAAATAAACCCAATGGCGTACATGCTGGCATTACGCAATTAGAAAGATCAATTTCATTTTGCAGAAAAAATTTGCCTTCTATTCCATTGGTGGTAAAGCTACAAGTATAAGCAGATAAATATATATCCTGTCAAATCCATGTACTAAAAAAATCCTATTACATACTGCTATCCTGAACTGAAACTTGTCTACAGTATCCGTGTTTAAGAATCTACAAGATGGTGAATCAAGAGACTCAATGTAGGATGTAGGCACTTTCCACTTCTCCTTTCATTGCTTGATAATATGCCACAAGAAAGTAACTTCAACATTTTTAGTCTTCAACGGCCATGCAGTTTGATGATTGCATTAAGTTTGCCTGCATTCAAATCATTCTAGGTTTTACCAACATGGAAGCATGTGCAAATCACTTCGCAAAATGTCAATGGTTTCATTTTCAAGTTAACTTGGAATATCATATGCACATTCCAACCCTCAAACACTAATGGAAGGACAGCATGACCTTAATGTTTTCATTTCCATAGAACATTACACTGCTAGTAAGATGCAACTTCAGGGAATACATAATAAAATATTCTAGGCAACATCCTGTACAAAATAACAGATTGAAAATGGTGCCCATGAATGTCAATTCTTAAACACAAAGGGTTTTGTCGAACATGTTCCCAAAGGGTAATTGGAATAATTTAATCTCCATACCCAATGATATTAAATTACAGAAGCCATTCTTCCACGGTTATGGAAATAGATCAATTAGTTATATAAGTGAATTTTTCCAAGTATATCAATTAACGTGCGCCCTTAGGTCACATATTAGAAAAACCAAAATATAAACTTCCCAACAACTATAATGATAGAAATGCTCTTAAATATGTATTCATAAAACCTCAACCTGTCCTTCAAAATGACAAGTCATTCGCATGAACCAGCACACCTCAGACAACTTATCCGTATGTGCTGTTCTTGCAGTCATTTTTGCCTAATTGGATCTTTTGACCTGAGATGATTCAAAAGTGCAGTTCTCTTAGAAGCAAAAGCATAAAGATGAAAAAAGAAAAGGACAAAGAAATGGTGACCAAAAAAGTTTAGAAACTCTTAAGAGTAAATATAAAGACCATCACATCATGACAAAAGTAAACACTCACCCGCTTGGAAGCTGTCTGCTTCTCCAAATATTGCTGCAATGGTCCTAAACCTTTGGTCGTCTGGTAGAAATGCCAAAGCAAACATCACATTTATCATCAAGATACAAAAATATTCAGACAAATGGATACATATCCAACTCTAGGATAGATTGCACAAGTCTGAAGTGAATGACAAAAACAGTTAATTCAAGCATGTATATATAGCAACTTACACTGAAAACATAGATACACTTTAGTACAAACACATCTTTCCTGTATTCTTTATATTGCTTTCAAGTAAATTTTACCTTCAGAAGTTTGACAATCAGAATGCCCATGCCTGTTGTCCTGAAGTGCTTTTTGAACTACTAAATTGCTTTTAGATCGAGCTAGGCTCCGTATATGGGTCAAACGTACAATTCTTTTATGTAAATCCACACTTGATTTTTCTGTCCCTTCTTGCACTTGTGAATGATTTTTGGACCGCGCTTGATGTCGAATTTGAGTCAGCCGTGTTCTTCCTTGCAATTGCCCAAGTGTAGAATCCCCAATACTTTGCTGCGCTAATATATTACTTTTTGATCGAGCTAGACATCGAATTTGACTTAATCGGAGAGTTTTACCATCACATCGGAATCCATTCTCTTTATTTCGTACATGATCTATTACAGGCATCACGTCAAATTTTTTCCCAGGATATTTCTGATCTGAAAAGGGATGCTACATAAACATAAAAGGAAAAGCAGATAATGTGGTAATTGAACAGGAGAATAACACTGACCAGTAACTGCAGCATCACTAAGATTTTCTAATGAATGTTGAGCCATTGGACTAATATGCAACCCTGATCATATATAAGTAACTATCAACACAACATCAGTGAAATACTTAACAAAATTGAAATAACCAAACACACTTCACAAATTAATGCACCTACCTTCATGACTTCTATCATTCATGCGCAATCCATCAAAGCTTTCCTCAGATTCCAGCATTAGTTCAGCAGACTGTGCGAGAATCAACAGGTGATCAACTGCACTTTCCTCATTCACTTGCTCATTGTCTATTTGCCCATCGTCACTCAGGCATGCTAGTTTGTACTTCATTTTTCTTACCTGTCTAGATTGTTCACTAAATTGGCTATGCTTATCAACATACTGCTGATGGGCAGCAGCATGCCGCAGGGTCTTCCACAAATTCTGCTGCACATCTGACATCTGGAGTGATTTTGCCTCTGCAGCTTCACCCAAATTTTCGTTCTTTTCATTGAAAACCAAAGCTTTCTTCTGTTTTGAAATGTTTTGAATATGTTGCCTCTGTTTGATTGTCATCTTCAAATGCTTCGAGCTAATAATCAGTAATCACCATCTGGTTTTCAACATCATGAAACATGAGCAAAAGAAAGACGACAGGATAACGCGTTAAAAACTAAAATGCATAACATTCCAGCGCCCGCTTCACAGAAAATTCCTTTCCCAGTCAAGGCCCAAAACAAAAACTTTCAAATGGAAATCATAGAGATTTCCCGTATGAAGACCTTAATATATTATTAATTGTAGAACAGAAAAGCGTGGAAAGGAAATTAAAACCATAAAAGAATAATCTCCATAAACTGAAACTCCACTAGCAGCTTTGGGATAATTTTATATGCACTCGTAACCAGAACCCAGTTCAAAAACCGCAACAACAGTTAATACCATGTTAAGATTTTCAATTATACTACATTCCCAATTGAGTTTCAATATCCAAGTTTCAGGCTTTGGAGGAATAAATAAGCATTATCAAGATTTAATAAGCAGTAACGAAGGCTGAAAAAATTAATTAATAACAGTGTTCTACTCTTAATTTGCAAAAATAAATAAAATAAAATGAGGTTAGCATTAAACAGAACATGTGGGCACATGAGAAACAAAATTTATATTTTTCAATGAAAAGTGTATCGAGTAAGATTGTGGGGCTTACCAGAAAGAAAGGGTTTTTTTTCCCCCCTTAAAAAAGTGGAGAACAGGAAGGGCATGAAAGAGACAAGATGAAGACGCAAAAAATATCTGTCAAACAAAAACCCTAAACGGCGTACCCGAGGAATCTGAATTTTCCAATCAAGGTGGGGAATACTGTTACTAAGGTACCCAAGAGGTAGCATCAAAATAGGATGGGCGTATGCCACTTGTTATTTCTGCAGGTTGCCACGTTGACGTTTGTTAATAAAAATAAAAAAGAAAACATTGCCGCAATAGTCTTGTCGAATTTGGAAGTGACTTACTGTCCCATACTAAGAAAAATATTTAAACATTACTGATATAATTTTTAATTAAAAAAATATAATTATGAAATCAAATATATGATACATAAATTATATATTAAGAAAATAATATATTTAATTAATTTAGATTGCATAATAGTATAAAAAATAAATCAAAATAAATTAAAAAATTTAATCTCTAATCTTAATATTTAAGGAGTAAATAAATATTATTTTTTTAAGACAAAAAAGTTGTTTTTATTATGAAATCGGATAGCTTCACAAAAAATAAATTCATAAAAAATTATAAAATTTAATTTTTAACCAGTTTAATATTAAAATAATAAATAAAAAACAAATAAAAAAATAACTCAATTTAATTTTGACTGACCTGTTAAACTTACTATTTGAGTCATGAGACTGAGATAACTTCATAATAAATAAATTATGAAGCTTTATTTCCAACAAATTCAATATTGAATCTTGAGGTCTATAAAAAACATTTATGAGACCGGGATAGCTTCATATAAAAAAATATAAAAAATACAAAGTTTAATTTTCAATTAACTTAATATTGAATGATGAAATTAAAAATAAATAAAATAAAATTGAGTTGTTGGAGGGTGAAATTATAAAACGATAATCAATTAAAAAAATAAAAAAATAAATTAAGTTAATCAAGATTAACCTGCTAGCCCATGACTCGAATCATGAGATCATGATAACTTTGTAGAAAAAAAAAATTTTAAAATATTATATTCAAAATTTTTTTAAAAAATTAACATAGTCAACATGCCAAAACACGTGAATTAGTCATAAGATTGAGATAATCATATAGAAAATAAAAAAAATACAAAACTTAATTTTCAATTAATTCAATGTTAGGAAATGAAATAAAAAAAAATTAATTATAAAACAATAACATAAAAAATTATCTGAATTAACATGTTAAATCAGTAATTTAAGTCATGAAACTAAATAAATTCATAGAAAATAGATAAATAAAAAATCATGAAACCTCATCTCTATAATATCAAATATTAAAAGTTGAAATTAAAAAAAAAAATTCTTAAGAGCTGAAAGTAGTATATAACCAACAAAAATCTTAACAAAAATATAAAATAAAATTATTAAAATAATATAATATTAAAAAATAAAAAATAAGTTGTTGAATGGTGAATTTTTTTTCTAAAGAAGACACTATAATCATGAATAGTGTTATATGGTTGCGGCTAAATCACCCGTATTTGTAGTGTTTTGTTAACATTAATAATAATAACAACAAAATAAATAACAATTACTATAATAATAATAATAATATCATAAAGTATAATTTTTAAAGTAATTTAATATTAAATAATAAAATAAAAAAAATAAAAAAATAATTGAGTTGTTGAATGGTAAAAATATTTTTAAAAAACTAAAAAAAAATAAACAATATATTATTTTAATAAATAGCTTTTTATAGGTATCACTAAATCACTCACTTCCTTTGTGTCTTGTTAATATTTAACATTATATTATTATTATAGAATAAACTAAGTTGCTAAGATTATATATGGGTTTATCTATGTGTTTGTAGCGTTTTTTAGTTATTTCTTGGTGAAAAAAGTTGCCGAACTTACAATCTTATCTTTTCAATCCCCTCTACTCCACAGCCCCAAAACATTTAATTCAATTCCAAATAACATTTTAATGAAAATGGCAACAGCACCATTTCCACCGGTGATCCAACAGTCTCCCTCACAACACAGTTCTTGTTACAACAGCACATACCCATCAAGCCCTCTCTCTTGCTTACCCAAATGCACCTCTCTTAAAGAACTTAAGCAAATTCAAGCCTTTTCGATCAAAACCCACCTCCAAAATGACCTCCAAATCCTCACCAAGCTCATAAACTCTTGCACCCAAAACCCCACCACCGCCTCCATGGACTACGCACACCAGATGTTTGAAGCCATTCCCCAGCCAGACATTGTCCTCTTTAACTCCATGTTTCGCGGCTATTCGCGGTCCAGTGCCCCTCTCAAAGCCATCTCTCTCTTTATCAAAGCTTTAAATTATAATCTCTTGCCGGATGACTACACTTTCCCATCTTTACTTAAATCGTGTGTGGTCGCTAAAGCCTTTCAACAAGGTAAACAATTGCATTGCCTTGCTATCAAACTTGGGCTAAATGAGAATCCTTATGTCTGCCCTACACTTATAAATATGTACGCCGGGTGTAATGATGTGGATGGGGCTCAACGAGTGTTTGATGAGATATTAGAGCCGTGTGTTGTTTCATATAATGCTATTATAACGGGCTGTGCTAGAAGTAGCAGGCCTAACGAGGCATTGTCTCTGTTTCGCCAATTGCAAGCTAGGAAACTTAAGCCTAATGACGTTACCGTGCTCAGTGTTCTATCGTCGTGTGCATTGTTGGGGGCATTAGACTTAGGGAAGTGGATCCATGAATATGTTAAGAAGAATGGACTGGATAAATATGTTAAGGTGAATACGGCACTTATAGATATGTACGCCAAATGTGGAAGCTTGGATGGTGCCATTTCTGTCTTCGAGAGCATGAGTGTAAGAGACACGCAGGCTTGGTCTGCGATGATCGTGGCATATGCAATGCATGGGCAGGGTCAAGATGTGATGTTTATGTTCGAAGAAATGGCGAGGGCAAAAGTGCAGCCTGATGAGATTACATTTTTAGGCCTGCTGTATGCTTGTAGTCACACTGGATTGGTGGATGAAGGTTTTCGGTATTTCTATAGTATGAGTGAGGTGTATGGAATTATTCCTGGGATCAAGCATTACGGGTGTATGGTGGATTTATTAGGTCGAGCTGGACTCTTACATGAAGCTTATAAGTTCATAGATGAGTTGCCGATCAAGCCCACACCTATACTGTGGCGAACCTTGTTATCTGCCTGTAGCAGCCATGGCAATCTAGAACTGGCAAAGCAAGTGATGAACCAGATTCTTGAACTTGACGACTCTCATGGTGGGGATTATGTAATTTTATCAAACTTGTGTGCAAGAGCTGGCAAATGGGAAGATGTGGATACTTTAAGAAAATTAATGATCCATAAAGGTGCAGTAAAGATTCCTGGGTGCAGCTCCATAGAGGTAGATAATGTAGTGCATGAGTTCTTCTCCGGGGATGGTGTGCATTACGTTTCTGCAGCTTTACATCGAGCTCTGGATGAGCTGGTTAAGGAGTTAAAATTAGTCGGATATGTACCAGATACTTCTCTAGTCGTTCATCCTAATATGGAAGATGAAGAGAAAGAAATCACTCTTAGATATCATAGTGAAAAATTGGCCATTGCCTTTGGACTCCTCAACACCCCCCCAGGGACAACAATTCGCGTGGTGAAGAATCTTCGAGTTTGCGGGGATTGCCATTCTGCTGCTAAACTTATATCGTCACTCATTGATAGGGAGATAATTCTTAGAGATGTCCAACGATTTCATCATTTCAAAGACGGGAAATGCTCTTGTGGGGATTACTGGTAGCAGAGCCTGTTTAACTGAAATTGCTCCTTGTATGATTGAGACATCTGCATCGTCCCTGTCTTTCAATAGCTATTTCTCCCTGCTATCATTAGAAGGCTTCGGAGTTGGTACTGCAGTTTCTCCTAATTACTCCATTCGTTCAACATTTATAAGTTCTCGAAATCTTTAGTTGCTTGTAAAGAATCAAGAGTAGCAGAGTCGGTTCCAAGTGGCAGTCCTTGTAAGTTTTCATCAGGCACGTGCACATTGGTGTATATTCTGAACCATTGATGCGCAGCAGCAGGCAATTGATCAATACATCATTACCTTTCTAGTTATAATGTTTATTTTCTTTACCGGTGATGAAAAGAAGCGGCACAACAATTTCTTCCAGAGTCTAAACACACCGCAAAATGCCGTGGACCGTGAGAGCTGTGAATCTCGTTTTTTCTTTTTTTTAGATTAACATGGGTGTCTGGGCCAGCTTGAGCATACCACGACTAATCCCACGGGCCCTGAAGTTAATGATCATGTAAGCCTCTAGTGATCATCATATGAGCAACTAAGGACTCGAACCTAAGACCACAGAGGGAGCAAACCCCTTAATCCTAAATTTTTACCACTTGACCACCACCTAGATGATTAAATCTTGTTTTTTTCTTGATTACTTAGTTTGTTGCTGTCTTTGTATTTTCAAAGCAACTCAACTATCTCAAGTGGACCGTATCGATGTTCAAAACAAATGAAAATGTTTTAAGCGCTATAAATAAATAATAATACTTTCTTGTGGAATTCAAACCTGCTCTCATATTGATATGAACAGTTCTACTGATTCTTTCTTATTTGATGAGGTGAATAATTTTATTTCTTGAATTAATTTCAATCCATGGAGGGAAAGATGCTACTATTTTTTCTGTAATATATTGGAGAACCAGATGTAGACATAATGTCGTTCGATTCTCCCGCTATATCAAAGATCATGGTTAATCTCTTGCCACAATGAGATTCATGCACCTCGAACTCATAAATGCATTAATCTGAATACCAGGTATACCTACAGTAATGGAAATAAACACTCAAAGTTTTAGCCACCAAAAAATGTTCCCTCGAGAAATTGACAATGAACCTGGCGGCATGATGAGAAATAAGTACGAGATCAATAATATTTGCGGATGTGTTTAAGAACAGGTTATACTTTCACGAATAATTAGATGGACAGTGGACACGCATATGAACTTATTAGGAAATGCTCACGAGTAAATATTGCCATGAATTGATTGATAAGCTTGTGGAACAGCATATCCTATGATAGATACCCTGAATACAGGCAGTCCTTACTGGCCTATAACTCTATAAGATGCGCCCCATACCATGCTTGTTCTGTACGATCATATCATATCACATTTAAAAGCCTTGAACATTCCATTTCACAAGATTAAGAGAGGCAAAAGAATAGATGAAAGCCAACAGTTCTTCCTTGATCAAGCTTCTGGTACTCCTGTGCCTATTAGTACTTCTGTTTCACAGGATTTCGACTTCTTCTACTTTGTTCAACAGGTAGGTTAGTTAAGTTTCTAATATCTATATATTTGAGTTTCTTCTAAACTACTTTGTTTCTCTCTGTTTTTTTTCCCTGCTCTTGGCTGATGGTTTTTGTGTCGATATCGCAGTGGCCAGGATCATACTGTGACACGATGACAAGTTGCTGCTACCCAACAACTGGAAAACCTGCGGCTGATTTCGGCATTCATGGACTTTGGCCCAATTACAATGACGGGACATACCCGAAAAACTGTGATGCTAGTAACCCCTACGATCCAAAAAAGGTAGTGTTTGCCCTTGAGATCATCGCCAGAAAGCTGCCATTCTTTATCCTTGAACTGACACCAGGAACATAAAGGTTTTTTTCTTTTTCTTTTCAAAATGGGACTTTAAATTCTACAAATCCCTGCTAACAGGAACGCAACATGAAAAAATAACGAGTAGTGGTTCTTTACAGCAACAATTTGGTCGAAATTTTTCCTCTTTCCATTTCCTAACCAATACATCTTGTGACAGATAAATGAATTTTATAGGAAACAGAACAAGGATGACTTCCTAAAATTTCAGTTCATTGACTTATATTTTTTCCTTTTCTTTTCTAGATTACAGTAATGGTTAACGAAGAAAAGATCAGGTTTATGTTTCGAATTGATTTTATCGACCCACTTTCTTTCAATGGTCAATATTGATCGACAGGCTAAATCAATGAAATCATAGATTCATATAGTAATCGACAGTCTCTTGATAAGATTACCTATACTTTTGTTTCACCCCTTACATTTTCTAATCATTAACGTAATCTCTAAAGAAATCTCTTGATCAATTTCCAGTTCGAAAGAACTCATTTTAACATGTTAAGTTGCCAAACATTAAATTGTTAAAAGCTTTCAAGTGAATTGGAATTCAAATTATAGCTACATAGAAAGGAAGCAATAGTTTGCCAGTTAAAAGTCTGCCTTGAGAAACTGGCAACAGAGGGTTTCAAGTGGCACAAGCCCACCAACTCATCTCAAATTTCTAATCATAGAGCCCAGCCCAGAAAAACCTTAAGGTACACATAAGCCGAAAGTTATTCTTTGAATCATCAGGTCCTCTCGGTGCATGTTTTAGTTGATGTCAGGTATCTAGTTGCGGTAGAATTCTTTGCACCTTTCTTTGTTTGTCCTATTTTATAATAACTGATATTTTGGTAAACGGTACAGGTTGCAGACCTTAGAAGCGGTCTGCAAAAGAATTGGCCACCGCTAGCTTGCCCAAGCGGCACTGGAGTAGTCTTCTGGACACATGAATGGGAAAAGCATGGGACGTGCTCCGAGTCTACTCTTGACCAACATGGATACTTCCAAGCAGCTCTCGATTTGAAAAAGCAAGTTAACCTCCTTCAGGCACTAACAAATGCAGGTAAATCTTCTTCTTTTTAAAAAGTTTTTAAAGTCCAGATTCACCCCTTTTAGAGGAGAGTGTCCTTTTCCTAAATTTTTTCCCCTTAAACGCTACGGTGGCTAATGGTTGAACAAAAATGTTACAGGAATAAACCCAGATGGGGGATCTTACAGCTTTAGCAGTATCAAGAGTGCTATACAAGAGGCAGTAGGATGTACTCCATGGATAGAGTGCAATACTGATACATCAAGGAACAGTCAACTTTACCAAATTTACCTGTGTGTGGATACTAGTGGGAAAAATCTCATTGACTGTCCAGTGTTTCCCAGAGGAAAATGTGATTCAGAAATTGAGTTCCCTTCTTTTTAGATCCTTAACTGAGACTAAATTTATGTATTTCCTGTCGTGTCTTGTTTTCTGATAATCAGTTGATTATAGTCTTACCAGTGTATTTGTTTTCCCATCAAGTTAATTCCAATGTTTTGGAGAGCTGTTAAAAACCTTTCAGCCAATTTCAACCCAAAATCATCCAAAATCCTACCCTCTCTCTCTTTTCTAAAGACTATGGGGAGCTCTCTTTCTCTCTAGGGTTTTCCCTTCCAATCCTTCTGCTACCACCTTACCCGATGCCCCTTGATCTGCTACCAGCCTCGACTATCTCGGTCGTATCTTTTGTCTGACCCTGAAATAATCTCCCTTCCATCTACTGATTGCTCCGTTTCCCCCATTTTTCTTTGTTTTGATTCTGAAAAAGTGAGTCTCGACTCGATTTTTCTTGGTATCCTACTTTAATGACTTGATCTTTTGATGGGTTTTGTTTGTCTTGAATGCTTCGATGTTGCAATTAAGGTAAATTCAAAGTTTGAGAGTATGGGTAACAATCTGCACTGACTGAAGCATGAATTTAATAATTAGGTTTTACGAATGGAGTGAAGCACGCATGCTTGCTGGGATTTGGATTTGAATTTCTGTTTGATTTTTATACTGTTGGGATTGCTAAAATATCAAAAGTGAACTCATGATTTTCTGCCACTTTTTCAAGAAAATTAATGAGACTCGTTTTTCTTCTTATAATCATATACACATCTGTTAATGATCGTTGAAATTGTTCAGATTATATGTCTTCCTGTCTTGGTTCGATTTTGAAATTACAAATATTCATGCATTTTCCTTACTAGTTTAATGCATTCAATTTCTTTTTATAAACAATTAAAATCAAATTTGAAGCATTTTAATGGCGGCAACAGTGAAAGCATATATATTTGAGAGCACACCCCTGGAATTATATTTTATTATGTTCTTCCCTGTGCCTGCATTTGATTGAAGTAGGGAACGGGCACCGGTAAATTCAATATAAGAACTAGCACCAGGGCACATTCTGCTTGGACCTTGTAGCACGGAATGATGTCGTTTTTAATAATAGGATTTTCGAGGGCAAGATGTAGCCCGTTGGTAATAACCTCTTGAAGTTACCAAGAAGTCTCACGACTTCCATGATCGATTAATTAATCCCTTAATCATGATAATCACACTATCTTCCTATTATAACAAGTAGCAGCTGTGGTTCAGGCTTTTTTTTTTTTTTTAATGTGGATAAATGCTCAAATTCAAGTAATTTTTTTGGTATTCTTATTAAATCTAGCTTAGTAAATTAATTTTAAAATCTTTATAATTTAAATTTTTGCATAGTTTAGGTTACAAGTTAAACAACATAAAAATTGTTTTAATATGATCGAGATGGTTTTGTGGATACAAAAATAATTTAAATGAAATAAAAATATAATTTCATTTAAAAAATATTTCAAGATATTTTTGTTTTAATATTAAAATAATGATATATCAAATAGATTTGAGTCACGTGATTCAACTAGTTAACAGGACTTAGATTAAATTTTTCTAGGTTTAAAACTATTTTTTAAAAATATTTTTTTCCTAACATTATCCATTTAACTTGGTGAATCCAAAGATATTTGAATGATTCATAAAAATATAAATTAATTTTAAAAAAATAATTTAAGATGATATATATTTTTTAACACTGAAATAATAATATATTTGATCATTCAGTTTTTACAGTTTAATTCATCAAACTTGTTATATGCGCTATGAATTTTATTTGATTTAATAATTTTATTTTTTTTAAAACTAGTTTTTATTTATTATAAGATAACAAAAATATATACTTAATAGAATAAAATTTTTATTTTAAAATATGATAACTTCATAAAATATAAAATTAAAGCAAATTATTAAGGTTTGGTAGAGTCAAAAGCAACCATTTGAACAATGAAACGGAATTTTCAAAGGAAAAAAAAAAAACAAAACATGAAAGAAAGACCAAAAAAATGTCGGGATTGACAAAAAAAGCAAATTATTAAGGTTTGGTCAATACCGGCACTTTTGACATGAAGCATGCAAGCAAGTGATTTTTTATTTTAATGTTTCTTGTAATGACTAAATTCAGCTTCCTTTCTCTTTTAACATATATATAGAAGTGAATTTATAAAAAAATTGATTAAAAATTATATCTATAATAAAAAACCAGAAATTTTATAGTGACTGAGGAGAAATTAATAATATCTTATTAGTTATCTTTTAAACTCACTTTGAATAATAATAATAAAAAAAAAATAATTATAAGCATTTAATAACAACATAGTTGACAAGAAGGCGTATATAATCTAATTTACAGTAGTTTAACATTGATAGAATTTTTTTTTCTATTTTTTTCTCTCTCCTCTCCTCTCCTTGAATTTTATATTAAATCAACTATAATTCAGAGTTGTCCTTCCATTTATTTTTTCTTTGACCCTTTTTTCTTTGATTGATATTTATTAGTTTTGGATTTTTTAATCAATTTCATCCCTTCTTATTTGGTTTTATTTATTTTTTATATAAAATATGGTAGTCCTTCTTTTTATTGTTGTTTTTTTATACCTTTTTCTTGATTTTTTTTTCAATTTTTTCAATCAACATTTTATTTCATTTATTTTTATTCAATTTTGGTCATTATTTTTTAAAACTTTCTTTTTCTATTATTTTTTTAATTTTGTTCTTCAATATTTTATTTCACCTAGTTTTTTTTATCGAATGTTAGCCATCATTATTTTAATGGATTTTTTTTTATCATTTTCTTATTTTATAAGGTTATATCAAGTTGAGGCTAGTCAAGTTAATATGAGTTGTTTTAGGTTTTTTTATTTTTTATTTTTATATTAGGCTATTGGGTCTTGAATTTTCTTATTTTTTAAATGTTTTTTTATAGGGTTATTTGGGTCTCTGGTTAGTCAAGTTAACCCAAGATGACTCGAGTTTTTTTTATATTTTATTTATTTATTTATTTAACTTTAATTCTTTTTTTCTAGGTCATTTTTTTAAAAAATAATTTTTTAGTTAATAGAGTGAATCCAGGTTGACTCGGGTTTTTTCTTCTATGTTTTTTATTTTTATTTTTTTAGTTTCATCTTTTGATATGAGCTTTTTGTGGTTTTTTAAAATCTATTATTCACTATTTGTCAACTTATAATTAATAAGTTCATTTTTAGTTTACTAAAAACTTAAGCTGTTAGGTGATGTCTCAAGATATAATTTATATTATTATCTAACACACCTTCTCATTTGAGTTTAAAATTTGTATAAGTCCACACCACTTTATGCTTATTTTTTTTATTAAATAAATAGAAATGATGAGACTCGAACTCATAATCATATAGTTATTAAGATTCTGATACCATATTAGAAAATCAATTCAATTTAATAACTTAAATTATTAAATAAAAATTACATCACTTTTATTATTATCTAATAAGATGAATTATAAAAGCACTCAACATTAGAAACAATAATGTTGTGCCTTTTTGCACGCCATGCATGCACGCTCCAAGAAGATGTCTAAAAACCACTTTGATTCTCATCGAACTGTTACAAATGTTTGTCTACTTTAAATATAGATATTCATCTGTGCAAATAATATATTTCCAAACAAATAAAACCTTCTGATGCGTCGTCCACCTTTACCCAACTCAGTTCCAGAGATTATTGGTGGTTCTGGCATGGATGTTTGATTTCGTCTACCTTTAGCTTCCATGGCTTTAATCATTATTTACCAATCTAAAAGCAATTGCCATTTGGTTCAGCGGAAATTTCTCCACCTACTCCACCTAATATATAAGAAATAGCTAGCTTCCAGTCTTCTCTCCTCCACTAGCAATCCACTGTGCTATGATCACGAAAAGAAATAGCATACGAGGCTGTATTCTATCTGGCCACGTGTTGTCGGCCATATGTCTCCAGGCTCCAAGCCACCAACCTGCATAAACTTTGGAATTGGACTGGCAGATTCCAGCCTTCCGTTTGATCTAATTAATTAGAAGACCATGTTTACATCGAGTCTTTGATTAATAATATTAGTTAACACGATTGATCCATTACTGCTTCTAATCAACTATTTGATTTCTACGAAGTTAAGTAGTAGATAATTAACAAGATGCATGCTACTGAACACATGGTTTTGCATATATGATATCGTAAACTTTTGATTAAAAGATACGAAGGTATCGAAACCTAAATATCGAGCGTCTTTTGTAGCAATTTGCATGGTAAAACTGACGGCTTTACGCGCTAGCATTACGTTGTTGACAGGATTTGTTAAATTTCATGTTCATGTACTTTACTCGAAGACGCATGCGCAGTTTTGTTTTAAAAACATCTTTCCTTTTAATGTATACTGATAGAATTCTGAAATATATATGAAGAACATATACACATAAATACGCGGATATAATTATGATGTAACCAAGCTTATCAGAATAATTTTAAGAACGCATCTCTCCTTGGATTATTTAAATGAATAAAAATCTCTCGATACGAACTTCAAAATTTAAACTCGAAAGTCAACAGAGGGAACACTCCAACACAATCTTCTGAGGTTAATCTAGTGGGATGTGTATGGTTTACCAACTCAATATTGCAGAAGGATAATTGTAGACAAAAGAAAGGAAGTAAACACAATTAAATTATGTGCTCAAACGACGTCAATAACAGGAGAAAAAACATGAACAGGCAAGCCTATTACAAGACACAAACGCGGGGGAACGTTAAGCTCGGCAAGACGAGGAAAAAAAAACAATAAACTGAATAAACCAAATTCTGTCGTTGTCTCTTATTCCGTTGATTGGCTATATATATGTATATATACAGACTGAACCCAAATTGCATTGTCATTCTAAAATCCAATCTTAAAAAGAAACCCCGCGGATCAGTTTGTTGAGCACTCCCAGGTCTCGAAATCGTATCGTTAAAGATGAAACTCAACTTTTCAATCTTTTTCAAGTTTTTGATCATACAATACCTTTCAGTTCTTTGTGTTGCTGAAGATTTTGACTTTTTATACTTCGTTCAACAGGTTAGCTCCATGCAAGTACATTTTTTGTTTTGCATTAGTTAGTACTATATATAGCCCGCTAGCTAGCTAGGTATA